CAACGACCATGTGAGACACAGAAGATGGTCATCTACAAGTCAAGGAGAGAGACCTCAGAAAAAAATCAACCTGACCAACACCTGATCTCAAACTTTTAGCCTCCAGAACTGTGAGAAAATAAATTTATGTTGTATATTTTTACAAATACCGCAGCCATGCAGTCTGTGGTATTTGTAACTGCTATATACAATAAAGTTTAAGAACCACTTAAGATCTACCATGGTAATAAATTATCTGTGTAGGAATGTATGCAAAATCAAGTAAGGGTTTCTTTTAAACAAAGAGGCAGTGACAATCAGGAATCTTAGATATGATCGGAGTTGGGACATAAAGCCTGAGCATTAATATAAGTATTTATTGGAATTTACTGAATACTTACATAAATCATTGTGTTAACTGATGTGAAAATTACAAAAGCAGCACATATGTGTTATTTTCAAGGGTCTTAAAATTGAGTTGTTCCAAATATAGATAAGAAACAAGAGAATAAAGTACAATTTCTTACCATCTCAAATGTTGAGTGAATTCTTGTATTATATAAAAAAACACAGTGCTTAATATAGAAAGCTTTAAAAAATTAGACTCCTGAAGTTGGTGAGGCAATGTAGTTGACTGCAATAAATTGAAAAGGAATGAACAAGGGAAACAGAAATCAAAGCCCAGGGCCTGATCAAAGTGATGAGTAACCTAGGAGACCAACAACACATTTAGCTAGAAGAAAGAATGAGAAACAGAGCCACAAAAACCTCAGAAATTGAAACTGGCAGACAAAGACCATAAAATGACCCTCATAGTTTAAAGAATAGACATATTAGAAAATATCTGCAGGGGATAAAAAAACTATAAAAAGTGATCTAGCAGTTTTAAAAAAGAGAACCAAACAAAACTTCTAAGACTGAGAAATAAAACCATAACAATGAATGGATATGACAGTAAATAGATGAGAAACAGATGAAGAGGTTAGTAAACTGAAATATGGGTTAGAAAAAATTATACAGAAGAAAGCATGGAAAGAAAAAACAGTTAGAAAATATAAAAGAGACGGTGATAAACACTGAAGACAGAGTATGAAGGTCTGCCATGTTTAATGAGAATCCTCACAGAAGAAAAGACAAATGGGGAAGAAGCTATATATAAGGAGT